GATGTAAAAAATACTTTAGATTTATTCCATACAGCTTTTGGAGGGTAAGTTCAAAGGGTAGAAATTAGAAGGAGATAGATTTTGGCTTTAATGTAAGGAAAAGATTTCCAACAATTCGAGCTCTTCAAAAATGGAATAGACTTATTGTGAATTCGTGAGTTCACCCCTATTTGGACATAGTCAAGCAGATGATGAATGACTTTATGCCAGAGATGTTGAAGAGGGACTTTTACATCAAACTTTAGTTGATCGCTACATTCCCTCCCAACTCAGGATTCTTAAGATTCTCTAACTTTAGGAACATGAGTTCAATATGAGTTATAATTATTATAACATTTCTCAGATGATACTAGAAGCCCATTTCCTCATAGTCAAGGATGCAGACACATTTAGTGATTTAACACAATGTATATAAAAACTGGCCTGAGGCTGGACACCATAGCTCACACATGTAATCCCAGCACTTTGAAAGGTTGAGGCTAAAGGATTACAAGATCACTTCAGCCCAGGAGTTCAAGACCAGCCTGGGAAACATAGAGAGACCCCTCCCCTACAAATTTTAAAAAATTATTCAAGTATGATGGCACGTGCCTGTAGTCCCAGCTACTCAGGAGGCTGAGGTAGGAGGACCTCTTGAACCCAGGAGGTCAAAGCTGCAGTAAGCCATGATAGGGTCACTATACTCCAGCCTGGGCAAGACTCTATCTCAAAAACATAATAAAATAAACTAAAATAAAAACTGGTCTGAGTAAATAAAATCTCACACAATGTTTTTTTTTTCAAATTTAAGAGTTTTTAAAGGTTTATTTTATTTTTTTATTTTTTGAGACAGAGTCTCACTCTGTTGCCTAGGCTGGAGTGTGGTGGCATGATCTTGGGTCAGTGCAATCTTCGCCTCCCAGGCTCAAGTGGTTCTCCTGCCTCAACCTCCCAAGTAGCTGGGATTATAGGTGCATTCCACAATGCCTAATTTTTGTACTTTTAGTAGAGATGGGGTTTCACCATGTTGGCCAGGCTGGTCTCGAACTCCTGACTTCAAGTGACCCACCCGCCTCGACCTCTCAAAGTGCTGGGATTACAGGCATGAGCCACCTGTTACATTACAGGCATGGGCCCATCACCTGGGGTGGTGGTGTACGCCTGTAGTCCCAGCTACTTGGGAGGCTGAGGAAGGAGAATCGCTTGAACCCAGGAGGCAGAGGTTGCAGTGAACCAAGATCACACCACTGCACTCCAGCCTGGGCAACAGAGCAAGCTTCTGTCTCAAAATAATAATAATAATAAATAAAAATAAAGTTCAAGGATATGTAGCAAAGAAAATTAGTTACAACAACCCAATATTACAGTCTGTCTATAAAATAAACACATCTACTCCTTCCAACTTCATAAGGGTAAAAAATAAGAGTTTAAAATATGAAGCAGAGATAAGATTTCATAGTTACCTGTGAAAATAGCTCTCCGATTGTGTGTCTTTAAATTGGCAGGGGAAAAAAAGAAACTCAGTTTTAAAACAGAAAAATTATATATCATTATGTCTATATACTTGTTACAGCCAATGTCCCTAAACAGAAAATTGTTCAGTGGTGCAAGGGAATTAGTAACAATACCAAGAATTATTAGATTCAGATTTCAAATCCCATATGAAAATAAACAATATTATTTGTTCTTAAACTAAATTTTTTTTTTCTTGCACTGTTACCCAGGCTGGAGTGCAGTGGCATGATCTCACCTCACTGCAACCCCCGCCTTCCTGGTTCAAGCGATTGTCGTGCCTCAGCCTCCTGAGTAGCTGAGATTACAGGCCCCGCCTTCCTGGTTCAAGCGATTGTCGTGCCTCAGCCTCCTGAGTAGCTGAGATTACAGGTGTGTGCCACTGTGACCAGCTAATTATTTTATATTTTTAGTAGAAACAGGGTTTCACCATGTTGGCCACGCTAGTCTCAAACTCCTGACCTCCAGTGATCTGCCCACCTCAGCTTCCCAAAATGCCGAGATTATAGGTGTGAGCCACCATGTCTAGAAAGAAAACCTTTGTGGAGGTGCTGGGGATTGAACCCAGGGCCCCATGCATGCTAAGCATGCACTCTACCACTGAGCTACATCCCCTTTAATTCTTAACATCAGAAATATTACTCAACAGACACATATCAGAGTTGAGGGAAATTATTGGAAAATTGAGACCAAAAAAGCATAGAGAAAGTTAATTTATTTTCTAGACAGAACTCTGCTAGTATTAGAATTAAGTACTTTAATTAGATAGTAATTTACTTGCTTTCTTGTACCTTATGTCATCTTCTCTAGTCTGTTATAGTCCTAACACGTATTAAATAGCAAAAACAAATTATATATTTTGCATGATCAGTATGTTACAACATTAAGATCAGACTAATAATACAAGTCATCTACTCCACTGCCAATTTTTATACTCCCTGCAATCTTACAGCACATCCTCATATGAACAAAAAGGCTTTATATTTATCTTACAAAGGATATAAACATCAATTTATAAAAAAGAGACACAAGCCTTATATAGTTAAAAGTAATATAATTAACATGATTACAAAAACATTTCTAACAAAGCAGAGGAAATAGTTATATTGCTTGTAGTTCTATTAAGAGTTTATTGAAGCATTAAAAATAATTTCAAAACAATAAAATACAAAGGCAAATATCCAAATAGTTTTGTATGGATCTTGCATTCACTTTTCCTTGATCCAACCTAGTTTTAATTCCTATGGGCTACAGGATGGCTTAGATAAGGAAGAAGCTAAAAATTGGCTGTTACAAAGTTGCAGTTGTGTGGCATATGGGTAATCTACATAACTGAAGTTGAAGGGACAAATGCAATCTTCCCCACAAAACCTGCTTTTCCCGCAGTCCATTGTCACAATCCCAAGTCCAGCTACTTCCTCAACATCTCCATCTCCCTAGCTAAAACCTCCCATCTCTCGTCTGGGTTGTTGTAAAGGCTCCTAACTAACCTCACCTCTTTTGCCTTTGCCCTCTATGATTAATTCTCAACCCAGTAGCCAGACTGATCCTTTCCTCAAAGCTCTCCAGTGGCATCCTTTTTTTTTTTTTTTTTTTTTAGTAGAGACGGGGTTTCACCATGTTGGCCAGGATGGTCTCAATCTCCCGACCTCGTGATCCACCCGCCTCAGCCTCCCAAAGTGCTGGGATTACAGGCGTGAGCCACCATGTCCGGCCTCCAGTGGCATTCTTATTCAAAATAAAAGTCAATATCCTAGGCTGGGCATGGTGGCTCACGCCTGTAATCCCAGCACTTTGGGAGGCTGAGACGGGTGGATCACTTGAGGTCAGGAGTTCAAGACCAACCTGGCTAACATGGCAAAACTCCATCTCTACTAAAAATACAAAAATTAACTGGGCATGGTGGCGGGCGCCTGTAGTCCCAGCTACTTGGGAGGCTGAGGCAGGAGAATTGCTTGAACCCGGGAGGCAGAGGTTGCAGTGAGCCAAGATCACGCCACTGCACTCCAGCCTGGGCGACAGAGCAAGACTATGTCTTGGAAAAAAAAAAAGTCAATATCCTTACAACTGGGTCCTATACCAACTATTCCCCATTTTCCATCTTCCGCTCTCAATGACTCAGTTCCAGCTACCCTGGCCAGTGCTTTGCTGTTTTATGAACAGCCCACTCTCACCTCAGGGATTTAGCAATTGCTCTTTCCTTTATCCAAAAATTTTCATCTAGATTCCATGTATCTTATTCCTTTAACATCCTTCAGGTTTTTGCCCAGTGTTCATTTTTCAGCAAATGATCCTCTAACCACCTCATTTATAACTGCAAAACCTATGCATCTCAAGACCCCCCCCCAACCTCCTTCTTTAAACTTGTTTTTGCTCTATAGAACTCACCACCACATGATTAGTATATATTTTGCTTATTTTGTTTACTGTCTGATTGTCCTCTCTAGATTATAAAACAGATTAGGGATTTTTGTCTGTTTTTTTCAATCCTATATTTCCATGGCTAGCACATAGTAGGTATTCAACAAATGCTTGTTGAATATATGAACATCCTCTATAAATTCTCTAGTAACCAGTGTCGAGAACTACATGCCTATGTAGGTGACCCAAACACTTCCTCTAAGAACTGTATAGAAAAATAACTTCAGGCCAGGCGTGGTGGCTCATGCCTGTAATCCTAGCACCTTGGGAGGCCGAGGCAGGTGGATCGCAAGGTCAAGAGATCAAGACCATCCTGGCCAACGTGGTGAAACCCCATCTCTACTAAAAATACAAAAATTAGCTGGGCATGGTGGCGCATTCCTGTAGTCCCAGTTACTCGGGAGGCTGAAGCAGGAAAATCACTTGAACCCAGGAGGCGGAGGTTGTGGTAAGCCGAGATCGCACCACTGCACTCCAGCCTGGCAACAGAGCGAGACTACGTATCAAAAAAAAAAAAAAAGGAAAAAATAAAAATAACTTCATTTAATTTAAACATCTTAATTAAAAATAGCAGCATTCAACTAAACATTCACATAACAACTACACAATCATTCTCTTTACTTCTTTCCTACCTTAAGCCTTGATGCCATCACTACTTCCAGAAAAAAAAAAAAATAGTTTCTAAATATCCCACAGAAGAAAACAAGGTAATGTGAATATAAATACTCTGCCCCTACATTTATGCATTCTTCCCTCAAAAATTTTATAAATTCCACACCCTTCCACCGGAAGTTAAAGAAAGGAGATGTATCCTCCCACTTTCGGAAATGCTTTAACCAAAATTAAAGAAAGAATGAACAAGCTATCTGTAGGAACCCATTCATCGACAGAAAGGAGAAACATTTCCTAAGAAATGTCAAAGACAAATGACTCTGGATCTAACACCATTTGGGGGGTTTCATACCAGTGCTAACACGGAGATATAATATTATTACATTTATATTAATAAGGCTGGGTGTAGTGGCTCATACCTGTAATCGCAGAACTTTGGGAGGCTGAGGCAGGAGGATATCCTGCTTGAGGACAGGAGTTCAGGACGAGCCTGGGCAACATAGTGAGACCCCATCTCTACACAAAACAAATAAATAAACAGCACAGTGAAAAGACTGCTTGAGCTCAAGAGTTCAAGGCTGCAGTGAGCTATGATTGTACCACTGCACACCAGCCTGGGGAAGAGCATAAGACCTTGACTCTTAAAAAAAAATTTGTATTAACATACTACTTCCAGAAATTAAACAAGACATACACAGTATGTGGATGTAAACAAAGAGAATGATTTCCATGTGCAAAACATAAAACTCATAGATTAATAACTGAAGTTTCCTAGTTTATTTTCTTGTTTTATTTAAAAAAAATTATTTTTTGAGACAGTCTCACTCTGTCTCCCAGGCTGGAGTGCAGTGGCATGATCTCAACTCACTGCAACCTCTGCCTCACTGGTTCAAGCAATTCTCCTGCCTCCACTTCCTGAGTGACTAGGATTACAGGCACCCGCCACCACACCCGCCTAATTTTTGTATTTTTTTTTTTTTCAGTAGAGACAGGGTTTCACCATGTTAGCCAGACTGGTCTCGAACTCCTAACCTCAAGTGATCTGTCTGCCTCAGCCTCCCAAAGTACTGGGATTACAGATGTGAGCCACCATGCCCAGTCTATTCAGAGGTCTAGTAAACTTAAATCAGTTCTGAAGCTTTTCTAGATAGCAGTAGTAAAACACACTATAAATCAGGTTACCTGGTTCTCAATTCAGTGTTCTTTTCATTTTCTCATGCTACTCTCTAAATTTGAATGTTCTCTTGACCAGGAATAAAATTATTCCATATATCTGAGTTGAAACTACTGTATCGCCAGGAAATAAAATAAAGTCTAACTTCCCAATATTATTCCTAAATTAAATTGTGGTTAGTCAGGATGTTGCTACATACTTTTAATAATAACTGAAAATTGAAGCAGAAAAAACTGCAATTCACTATTACTTGTATATTTTGTGCCACGAACAGAGGAAACTGTCATTTACAGTATAATTTTCTGGGCATAGGCATGGATTCTGGTGTTCACATCTCCAAGTTCAAATCTCAGTTTTGTCACTTATTAGGGCACATTATCTTAATGTCTCTAAGCTTTTATTTTCTTTTTCTCTCTTTCTTTTCTTTTCTTTTTTTTTTTTTTTTTGAGACAGGGTGATTACAGGCTTAACCTCTTAGGCTCAAGCAATCCTCCTGCCTCAGCCTCCCAAGTAGCTAGGACCACAGGTGCACACCACCACGCAGCTAATTTCTGTATTTTTTTTGTAGAGATGGGGTTTTACCATGTGCTCAGGCTGGTCTCAAACTACTGGGCTCAAGTGATCCACCCGCCTTTGCTTCCCAAGTGCTGGAATGACAGGAATGAGCCACCGTGCCCAGCCCTATTTTCTCATTTTTAAAAAAGAGAAGTTATTGTTTCAAAATATGTTGTACATGAGGCCAGGTGTAGTGGCTCATTCCTGTCATCCCAGCACTTCGTGAGGCTGAGGCAGGAAGGTAGCAGGAGTCCAGGAGTTCGAGACCAGCCTGGGCAGCACAGTGACACACCCATCTGTACAAAAAATTTTTTAAAATTCTCTAGGCATGGTGTTACGTGCCAGTAGTCCCAGCTACTCAGGAGGCTGGAGGGTCACTTGAACCAGGGAGGTCAAAGCTGCAGTGAGCCATGATTATGCCACTGTACACCAGCCTGGGCAATCCAGGGAGACCTGTCTCAAAAAAAAGCACATTTCACATGATAAATATTACAATTTTTGTCAATTAAAAATAAATATTTATCTATCATATCCCAGGAAATCAAGTAAAAATAAATAAAATAAAAGAAATAAATGAATAAAATTTAAACAATTGAAAGAAGATAGCACTACTACTTATGTCTTTGAGTTGTGAGAAAAATGCACAGAAAGTACTTAGCACATGGCCTAACACATATATATATTCATAGTGACAGATACACTACTGTCAATTGCAGTCAGACATGAATGGAGATTATAATCAGATTCCCACCTTGCAAACTTTAGATGTGACTTCATATTAATTCAACAAATCTTCCAAGTCAGAATGCTTGTTGATTTGAATCTTAGAGCAATTATTTTTATCTAGTCCTTAAGAAATGAAAAAAAAATGTAATAGTAAACTCATGCAATGACTTAATAAATTTAAAGCCATAAACAGACTAAATCCAACACTAAACAAGCATTTTGCAATCTATTTTGGCCAAAACAATGCATTTTCCCTCATTCATGTAACAATGACTCAGTGTGCCAGCTCCCAATGTTACAAAGCCTGTTCTTGGTGATTCAAGGGTGCCCTCTGTCTGAGTGCTGAAAAAATACAAACCCAAATTTAAAACTTTGTAAAAACATGCTTTCTCAAGTAAATTCTTAATCAACAGTTCTATGAAATTGATCCTGTCTTTAATCACTGCTGGCAGATAGTCCTTAAAACAAACAAACAAACAAAAAACCAGGTGCAGTGGCTCATGCCTGTAATTCCAGCACTTTGGGAGGCTAAGGAGGGTGGATCAACTGAAGTTAGGAATTCAAGACCAGCCTAGGTAACATGGTGAAACCCTGTCTCTACTAAAAATACAAAAATTAGCTGGGCATGGTGGCAGGAGCCTGTAATCCCAGCTACTCAGGTGGCTGAGGCAAGAGAATTGCTTGAATCCAGGAAGCAGAGGTTGCAGTGAACCGAGATTGCGCCATTGCACTCCAGCCTGGGCAATAAGAGCTAGACTTTGTCTCAAAAAAAAAAGAAAAAAAACCCCACCACCACCAACAAATGTCATGTCATTTGTTACAAGAGCACAAGAAAGTCATGTCTACATCTCTGTAATTTATCTGGAAATTTGGAAATTCCATGATATTTTTCTCAAAATTTATTCCATATCATTCAATGAAATTATTGACATGAATCACCTAGATAAGTTTATTGCTCTCTTTTTTTGTTCTGTCCATGTAAAACTCTGTACTTGATTTAACATGTCATTGTAGCGGTTTGCTCCGTAGTAAGTATCACCAACATTAAATATTTATTGGGTATCTTCTGTGTGCGGTACACAATACTAGGTGAAAAGGATGGAAAAAACCATTCTCTATCCTTAAAGAAGTAACAATCTAGTTTCTAAAACAAGACATATAAAAAGGATATGTACAAAAATATATGGTGAAATGCTCACTAAAAAGTATGTTTCTTTCCATCTGCTTCCACCTTAAGGAAGTTATTCAACTTCTCTGAACCTCAGTTTATCTGGAATATAAAAATAATATCTACCTTAAAGGAAAGTTGCAAAGGTTAATTCAGATATCTGTAAAAGTCTCAGCACATAGTAAAAGCTTAATGAAAGATGGTTGTTATTATTTCTACTATTATTAAGAGAATAATCTTAAATAATAGTGTCCTACATTAAAGACATTTTATTTGCTTCAAATGGAAAGACATGTAAATAAAAAAGTTTATGCTTTACTTTTACAATATTAAACATTCTTTCTAGTTAAGAAAAACAGTGATCTTGATTAAATGCTTGACATATCAGGAATGAGCCATTTCTAAAAGAATTATTTCAATAGAAAAATACTCTGCTCTCTTCATGTTAAAAACTCTCAGTAAACTACGCATTAAAGGAACATACCTCAAAATAATAAGAGCCATCTATGACAGACCCACAGCCAACATCACACTGAATGGGCAAAAGCTGGAAGCATCCCCCTTGAAAACTGGCACAAGACAAGGATGCCCTCTCTCAATACTCCTATTCAACATAGTATTGGAAGTCCTGGCCAGAGCAATAAAGCAAGAGAAAGAAATAAAGCACATCTGAATAGGAAGAGAGGAAGTCAAACTATCTCTGTTTGCAGATGACATGATTCTATATGTAGAAAACCCCAGAGTCTTGGCTCATAAGCTCCTTCAGCTGATAAACAACTTCAGCAAAGCTGCAGGATACAAAATCAATGTACAAAAAACTAGCACCCCTATGCACCAACAATAGTCAAGCTGAGAGCCAAATCAGAAAGGCACTCTCATTCACGATTACCACCAAAAAAATAAAATACCTAGGAATACAGCTAACCAGGGAGGTGAAAGATCTCTACAATGAGAATTACAAAATACTGCTCAAAGAAATCAGAGAAGCCACAAACAAATGGAAAAGCATCCCATGCTCATGGATAGGAAGAACCAATATTAAAATGGTCATATTGTCCAAAGCAATTTACAGATTAAATGCTATTCCTATCAAACTACCAATAACATTCTTCACAGAATTAGAAAAAACTATTCTAAAATTCATATGGAACTAAAAAAGAGCCCAAATAGCCAAGGCAAAAAGAACAAAGCTGGAGGCATCAGGTTACCTGACTTCAAACTATACTACCGGGCTACAAGCATGGTACTCGCACAAAAACAGGCACATAGACCAATGGAACAGAATAGAGAGTCCAGAAATAAGGCCACACACCTACGACCATCTGACAAAACAAAGCTGACAAAAGCTGACAAAAACAAGCAATAGAGAAAAGACTCTCTAGTCAATACATGGTGCTGGGATAATTGGCTAACCATATGCAGAAGATTGAAACTGGACTCCTTCCTTACATGATATACAAAAATCAACTAAAGATGGATTAAATACTTCAATGTAAAACTCAAAACTACAAAAACCCTGGAAGACAACCTAGGCAATATTATCCCGGACTTAGGAACAGGAAAATATTTCATGACAAAGACGCTAAAAGCAATCGCAAAAAATTGACAAATGGGATCTAATTAAACTTAAGAGCTTTTGCACAGCAAAATAAACTATCAACAGAGTAAACAATCTACAGAATGGGAGAAAATATTTGCAAACTATGCATCTGACAAAGGTCTAATACCCAGCATCTATAAGGAACTTAAACAAATTTACAAGAGAAAACAAACTACCCCATTAAAAAGTGGGCAAAGGAAATGAACAGACACTTTTCTTTTCTTTTTCTTTTCCCTTCTTTTTTTTTTCTTTTTTTTTTTTTTCTTTTGAGACTGAGTTTCCCTCTTGTCACCCAGGCTGGAGTGCAGTGGCACACTCTCGGCTCACTGCAACCTCTGCCTCCTGGGTTCAATCGATTCTCCTGCTGGAGCCTCCCAAGTAGCTGGGATTACAGGCATGTGCCACCACTCCCGGCTAATTTTTTATTTTTAGTAGAGACGAGGTTTCTCCATGTTGGTCAGGCTGGTCTCGAACTCTCGACCTCAGGTGATTCGCCTGCCTCGGCCTCCCAAAGTGCTAGGATTACAGGCATGAGCCACCACGCCCGGCTGAACAGACACTTTTCAAAAGAAGACATATATGCAGCCAACAGACATATGAAAAAAAGCTCAATATCACCAATCATTAGAGAAATGAAAATCAAAACCACAATGAGATACCATCTTACACCAGTCAGAATGGCCATTATTAAAAAGTCAGCTCTTTCCCATCTTACAAGATGGAGGGTGAACAAGTTCAGAAGCCAGATACTAAAGAGAAGAAACCCAAAGCCAAGAAGTCTGATGCTGGTGGCAAGGTGAAAAAGGGTAACCTCAAGGCTAAGAAGTCCAAGAATGGGAAGCCCCATTGCAGTCAAAATCCTGTCATTGTCAGAGGGATTGGCAGATATTCTCCATCTGCTATGTATTCCAGAAAGGCCACGTACAAGAGGAAGTACTCAGCTGTGAAATCCAAGGTTGAAAAGCAAAAGGAGAAATTTCTTGCAACTCTTACAAAACCAGTTGGTGGTGGCAAGAACAGTGGTACTCAGGTGGTTAAACTTTGCAAAATGCCCACGTATTACCTTACTGAAGATGTGCCTTCAAAGCTGTTGAGTCAAGGAAAAAAAACTCTTCAGTCAGCACGTGAGAAAACTGTGAGCCAGCATCACTCCCAAGACCATTCTGATCATCCTCACTGGACGCTACAGGGGCAAAAGGGTGATTTTCCTGAAACAGCTGGCTAGTGGCTGGTTACTTGTGACTGGACCTCTGGTCCTCAATCAAGTTCCTCTACGAAGAACACACCAGAAATTTGTCATTGCCACCTGAACCAAAATTGATATCAGCAATGTAAAAATCCGAAAACGTCTTACTGATACTTACTTCAAGAAGAAGCTGCAGGCCTGAAAGGGAAATAGCTTGATTTTTGATTAAACGGATCCACAGCTATTTGGATCAATCTTGTGCTGCTCTGTAATCTGTATTCTCTTTCTGTGTGGCAAGATCTCACCTTCCTGGTGGTCCTGGGCAATGTCTTTTTTTTTTTTTTTTTTTTTTTTTTTGAGACTCTGGAGTATCCCCTTGTCAC